ACCCACCTGGGGTTCATAAATAGCTTTATTTTTAATAATCATCTGAATACTCTTTAAAAATGAATAAGATGGTACAAATACTAACACACCACCCTCTTGCTTAAAAACTTCTCCAATATCAATTATTATTTTAGCAATCTGATCTTTATACTCTTTAGTTTCAACTATCTTATAAGTACCACATAACTCTTTATTAAGATGTCCTGAACTAACATTACTTATGAACACCTGTTCTTTTTTAAGAATATGTGGTGCTATAATCTTATTAGCTGACTTCATTCCCAATTCATAAGAAATAGCCTTAAAAGGAGTTAATGTACCTGATAATAAACAAACAGACTTAGACATGTTAATTAACTGTTTAAATATAGCAGCAGGGTTCATCAACCAAAAGTTATAAACATATTCATTGTTATCTAAATTTCTAGTAAAACAATAAACATAATCATTGATTCTACCAAAATAAATAGAACTTAAAATAAATGATAGATTTTCTAAAAATCTATTTGTGCTTATTGAAAGAATTTCTTTTAAAATTTCATCCCGTGAAATATTAAACTGAATGCTGTTAAACTTATTAACATCCTCAATTTTTATATCCAATTCTTCTAATTCTTGTATGATATTCTTTCCTTTAGCAATTTTAGATTCTGATTTATAATTTTTAACATCACATTTAACTTTACCACTTGATGTTCTAAATTTCCAGAGAAATTCCATAACAATAGTTAAATTCTCTTTAATGATACTATCTTGTGTTTTATTTCCTTTTATGACTACTAATTCATTATGAACCATATCAAGTACTTTTGATGTCATTTCCATTGAACCCGCTGATCTACAACAATCTTCAATATTATGAGCTTCATCAATAATTATGATTGAATTATTTAAAGTTAATTTTAATCTATCTCTGATATTCGGATCTATTAAATAGTTATAAGGTGCAAATATTACATCTGCTTCTGCTACTAAATCTCTAGCTGCAAAGAAAGGACAACCTGAACATTTCTTTCCTTTTACTTTTAATTCTTCAATATCATGTATATTTTTAATATTTTTAACTAATTTTTTATATCCTTTAAAGTATTGACAATTTTGTTTTTTAACTAAATCATTACATGTTGTGTCTAAATCTTTCATCATTTTAGCTTTAGCGTTTATACAATATTGTTCTCTTGAACCTAAAATTGCCATCTTAGGAGTATAATTAGTCTTTCTTAATTGGTCAATTAATTGATCAATTTGTTTGTGTGTTCTACTACAAATATAAATCCTAAGTGCATTTTCATTATCAATCTTATCTTCTAAAAAATTAACTTCTAACGAACCTTTCATC